ACTTCACTCTGTATAATGGGCTCCAGTTTCATCCATCTCATTAGAACTGATTCAAATGAACATGCTGTGGTTTTGGTTGGTCTCTCCTTTGTTGCTGTTTCTGACATGTTGATAACTTCTCTGAATAGAAGGAATTAAGTATTGTTTTTAAAACTTTGTTTAAGCTAAAATATAAATTACATGCAACAGCAAGACAGAATTAACGCCTAAAGAATTGTTCTCTCATTTATAAATGAAGAAACTGAAGCTCAGAGCAGTTGTTCTATTTTACTGGTCCCTCACATCTAGCAGGTGGCAGAGCTCAGAGAAAAGCCCAGATCTTCATTCCTGCTTCCTTCACCTGAGCAATTTGATGTACATTTTATCAGGAGTCATTCCTTATGATGATTTAGTGATGCACACACAAATCAACATTCAGAAGCCTGTTCTGACTTTCTTTTTATGAGTTTTAAATAGAGCCTAATGGCCACTGAAAATAAATCTTTGGATTCAAAACTTGACAATGTCCTTCAGCTCCGTTCTCTCTCTTAGATTACAAGGACATATCTCCATTTTATTGCAAATTGAACATAAGCAGTTTTACTGCACAACCAGAAGTTTAGCAAGATCACTTTAAGTTTCAAGCCTCTAGACTTGTCTTGAATGAACTTGAGGCTGTGTGTGTTGTGTGTGTGTGTGTGTGTGTGTATAACCATTTTCAATGGAATGTTGAACTGTTTTTAGATTGGCTGTGGACACTTGTCTAGTGGTCTCAAATTGTAAACTTCTATGCTCTGAATTATTTTCATTTTTAGGACCAGATCTTCATGGAAAATGTGGGTGCAGTGAAGCAGCTTTGCAAATTAACCAACAACCTTGAAGAAAGAATAGAAGAGTTAGAAATATGGAACAGAAAGCTGGCCAGGCTAAAGCGGCTCAGTAGTTGGAAGTCCTCTGCCAGTGAGGCAAGCTCAATCAGGTACCTCCACGACTGCCATAGAAATTTGGAGAAAGGGAGAATGAGGGTCTCTCTATAACTAGAAAGACCTTTCTATAACAATCTGAATGGTTTGTCTACCAAGCAGCAACCATTACTTTATTTTAATTAAGTCTCTATTCTTCTTTTAGAATGAATGTTTTGAAACACAATTATTTTATGTGATAATTTTCTTATTTTTTCTGTTGCTGCTTTTAAGATAAAACAAAATATAATGGATCTATTTAAGAGTGGTGATTATAGGATGTGCTACATTTTAACAAAATGACAGCCTCTCTTTTTAACAAGGAAAGGGGACCATTTCTAAATTTAGAAAACCATGTTTGGTCCTCAGGGACAAAACTTATTCTATTTTTTATTACTTAAGGAGGTAAGTGCATATTTTCTAGGGTATAGTTTTGAGAAAAAGGGAAATGTAAATTTTAATGCATTTATTTATATTTACTAAAGCTTTTATACACAAAAAGAACTCTGAGTTGCCTTGACTTTGCTTTTTAAAATTACCACTGTATTACAAAAAAGAGCCATACTGTGTTAGTGACAGCCTGGGCCTTTGTCATATAACTCCCAGAGAGGCATTTGATTTGTAATTAATTTTCTCTTTCTCTTTTTAAAGCAAATTTAGCAGAGCTCTTAGTGCATCTTCTCCAAAAAGGACCATTTCCAAAAAAAACAGCAAGGTAAATAGACTTAAATTTATAATGAACAGAGAAGATATTTTCTATTAAAATGGAGTTTATGAAAATTAATCAAGAAGTTTTTTCTTCATTTATTTGTTGATGGGTTCTCTAGTATGTATCCTTATGTGCTTAAGGCATTTAAATATTATCCCTTTATTAGATATTATTGGTTTTTCAAAGAGGAGTTTAGGGGTATGAGTATAGAACACATTCATTTCAGAAATATTACTCTGCCAGTTTTTGTGTGTATATCCCCATTAAGTGAAATTCATCAGCAGATGACCCTGGGTTATAAGACCTATGTGTATTCCTTGACTAGATTTAGTCCTTTATCTTTGCTTCCAAAAGATCCAAAAGGGATGTCAGTTAACCTCTAAATCTCTCTTTTCCGTTTGATATTCGGTACTGTATATGCAAATAGAGACTAGGTATTCACTTTCTCGCAAAGCTTAAAATGTGGCAACTTTATTAACGAATGGAGCATTTCATCAAAGAGGATAACATTTACAGTAAAAAATGAAGGTTAATCATTAGCTTAAAGGACAGCCTCTCCATGGCAGAGAAGTGTCAGGGAGGGCCAAGCTGCAGTCCTCTCTTCTGCATTCATAGAAAGCTGTGACCCTCAGTTCACCCCTCAGATCCACTGCTGTTCCCAGAGGAAGATATTTATGACCTTCATCTATATCCTGTTAAGGGCTGACCTGATATTTGGGCCATTGTCCTGGTTTATTCTCTACTTCTTCTGTTGTACATCACTGAACTATTCTAAGAGGATTTAAGAAGAGTACAGTATTCTACTAAAAAGTACTAAAATGCTATACTGCAGACAAATTTCTTGATATATGTCAACAGATATAAATACATGGATAAATAAACATGTAGAAGTGTTCTTTGGCAAGTTTACTTTAATTGCATTGGGAAACAGATAATACCATGAACTTCCAGATGTTCAAGCTGGATTTAGAAAAGGCAGAAGACCCGGAGATCAAATTGCTAACATCCCTTGGATCATCGAAAAAAGCATGAGAGTTCCAGAAAAACATCTACTTCTGCCTTACTGACTACGCCAAAGCCTTTAACTGTGTGGATCACAACAAACTATGAAAAATTCTTAAAGAGATGGGAATACCAGACCATCTGACCTGCCTCATGAGAAATTTGTATGCAGGTCAAGAAGCAACAGTTAGAACTGGACATAGAACAACAGACTGGTTCCAAACCAGGAAAGGAGTACGTCAAGGCTGTATATTGTCACCCTGCTTATTTAACTTATATGCAGAGTACATCATGCAAAATGCAGGGCTGGATAAAGCACAAGCTGGAATCAAGATTNCTCCAGGAGTTGGTGATGGACCGGGAAGCCTGGCGTGCTGCAGTCCATGAGGTTTCAAAGAGTCGGGCACAACTGAGTAACTGAACTGAGCTGAACTGAACTGAACAGATAATAATAGTGTCTACCTTACAAAAATAATTGATAGGATTAAATGATCTAAAGTCCTCGGCACAATGCCCAGCACATAGCAGGTTGCTCAATAAACACAAAATACTAACAATATTGTGTAGGGAAGGCGCTCTTTGTACTAACCAGTTTGCAAGGGAATAGAAGCAACTGTATCTACATCAGTGGAGGCCCTGATAGGAAGGTACCATTTGGTTCTTGTGGGCCCTGGTGGCTCAACAGTGAAGAATCCACCTGCAATGCAGGAGCTGCAGGAGACTCAGGTTGGATCCCTGGGTCAGGAAGATCCCCTGGAGGAGGGTATTGCAACCCACTCCAGTATTCTTGCCTGGACAATCCCATGGACAGAGGAGCCTGGCGGGCTACAGTCCATGGGGTTGCAAAAGAGCTGGACCCCGCTGAGGCAACTTAGCAAGCACACATGCATTTGGTTCCTGTGTAACCTTTGTAGCAACCATCTTGCACCTAAGAGATCTCTTTCTCTCAGTTTTCTTAGGATTTTAACTACAATGTATGTCCATGAGAACAGACTCTGTGTCCGCCTTCCTCACTCTCTGTCCCCGGGGACTGACACATAGTGTGTACTCAAGAACCACTCGTTAAATCAATGCGTGAATGGAAACCAGTCTGAAAATATTCCCTGTAGGCTCACAATCTAAATTTAAAGCATTAAGAGATTTAATGTCTTGAGTGCATGGGTGGCGGGGGAGTTGGGGGGTGAACACAGAGTCTGGGACTTATATAGACATTGAAGAGCATGCATTCAATTCAAAGACCTCTTATAGTCACTGTCTTATGCCTATGGAGGCAAAGTTGAGTAAGATGTGGCCTCTTCTAAGGAATTTTAAGCTAGGGACTTCCCTGGTGGTCCAGTGGGTAAGACATTGCCTTCCAATGCAGGGAGGGCATGTCCCCCTCACCCCAGGGGGTCAGGGAGGTTAGATCCCACATGCCTTGGGGCCAAAAAACCCAAAACAGAAAACAGAAGCAATATTGTAACAAATTCAATGAAGATTTTTAAAGGGTCTACATTTAAAAAAAAAATCTTTAAGAGAAGAAAAAAGAAGTTTAAAGTAGCCAGGGAAAATCAGAAGAGAATAAAAAGACCAGTTGTACCTGGAAGTGATAAATAATGTACAAGCTCAGAGTACTGTGGGAGTATCATAGGAACCAGGCTTTCAAGGGGGCAAAGCTCTGGCTGGAAAGTGCCAGGAGCTGCTGGATCAGCTCTGGATGGAATGACAGAAGCGAAGGTCTAGGAGCTGGTGCTGGCTTCATTGACTAGGTGGGAGTTTGTTAGGGAGAAGAGGAGAAGTTAAGGCTGAAAATAAGTCTCAGTTTCTGGATCACCAGTTAAGGAGTTCATTTGGTAGCCATGAAGCCCTTTTGAATAATAATAATAAGTTGTACAGTGTCTCCTTTCTTTACAGACAGAAAAAGGGAGACAGCATGACATTGAGAATAAGAGCACATATTCTGAAAGTGTCATTGCTCAATTGTGCCTGACTCTCTGCAACCCCATGGACTATAGCCCATCAAGCTCCTCAGTCCATGGAATTCTCCAGGCAAGAAAACTGGAGTGAGTTGCCATTCCCTCCTCCAGGGGATCTTCTCAACCCAGAGATCGAACCCGGGTCTCCTGCATTGCAGAAAGATTCTTTCTGTCTGAGCCACCAGGGGAGCCCCATAGATTCTGAAGCCAAGTGTTATTTGGGTCAAAGCCTGGCTTTGTAACTTATTAGCTGTGTGATCTTGAGTGAAGAACTTAGCCTCCCTGGGCCTCATTTTTCCCTATCTCTAAAATAGGGATGAGAATAGTACTTGTGCCTTATAAGGGTAGTTGAGGATTATTGTGAGGTTCAATAAATTAGTATACATAAAGCACTCAGAAGAGGGTGTGACACATGAGTGTCGTATAAGTGTTCACCATTAGTATTTTCAACCCCACTCTTTCAGTGGTTCTCATACTTTGGCATGTATCAGAGTTTTCCAGGGAGCTTGGTAAAATACCAATGTGTGCTGTTGACTTGGGTGACGTTGAAAAAACCTCAGAGTTCAAGTAAAAATTCACTGAGGACATGGAGAAGAAGGGCGAAAGGGAAGGAACTGATGCAGACACTTTTCATTATCCTGCTTCTTATAGATTCCCAGCCCCCACCTCGGTCTGAACGGAAACCTATTGAATCAGAATGTTTCAGGGCATTTAGATTTTTAACAAGCTCCATAGTAATCTTCTTGCAAACTTGAATTTGAGAACCATTACACTGTTAATTAGATTCACCCAATAACTCTGTAAAGTAGGCAGGTATGATTTCATCCTTCCTATTTTATTGATGAAGAAAATGAGGATCAATGACACTTCGATGACTTGTTCAGGGCTTGACTCCAAGTCTGACTCCAGGTCTTGGGTGATTTTCCTATATTAGGTCAAAGGATTTGGAATAAAACCATAGAGATTTAAAATGCTTCTTATTGCACCTATGCATGACTCAGTCATAATATATATTTTTTATATATATATATAAAATAGCCTTAAAGATTTGGGTAATTGTTAAAAAGGGTGCAGTTAATCCCACCCACAATATTACAATGAAGAACATTTTCTTTATGCAGATAATCTGCCCAAGAAATTTAAAGACCAATTTAAGCTTTTTCTTGTCTACTCCTTCAATTCCTTTCTTACCCTGGACCCCCAGGAGGAAGCAAACATAACACTTCCTATTGCATTAGTAGGAAAACTCATATTTAAAGAGCTTATATTTAACTGGGCAGAAAACCTCTCCTATCTCTAGTCAGATTTCTCACCAACTGCACAGCTGTCTATCCTAGTTCTGGCTCATTCCTCATGTGCAAGTTTTTAATGCAAATATGTACCAGTCCTAAAGATTTATCTCATTTATTTCCTAGAGAGTGTAATTTACTTATTTTCATTTCCCCCTAGAGTGTTACTCATCATAGTACTTAATGTATATTTGCTGAAGGGATATAAGAATAAATAAGACACAGGCCCAGAACTGTTCTCAAAAATAGGTGGTGGAATTGGATACTAATATACATGATTTAAGGAGTAATTAATAGTATTTCATGCCACAAAAACCTTTTCTGCAATTTTTCATGCTGCCTGAGATTCTTCCATTGGGATTTATTCTATCATGTCTTGAAGACATTTTTCAAAAGTATCTTATTAAAAGAAATGAACCTCTGTGTTCTGACAGTATCTTGTCTGGTAGGTCCTCTTTTCTCAAAAAACTTCAAGAATAAGTGCTAAATGAGTGGCACAGACAATTGTCCTGCAGGGAAAAGAGAGCGTGGCCTGGAGTGCCAAGGAAAAGGAAGGACTTGGCTTTGAAACAACTTCGTTTTCAAAGAGGAGGAGGGAGAGATAGGCTGAAGGCAGCAGCAAAGATCCCCTGGGGAGTGAGTCTTCAGACATCCTTCTCAAAGTTGGTGTCACTGATTTGTCATTTCTCATTGCTGAATTTTTTATAGGTTTCTTTTTCAGGAAAAAAACAGTCATGTCCTAACTGGGTTTTCCAGACCTTGGTTATAACCCTCATTGCTGTGATGGCATTTTGGTAAGAAAAACATCAGTGTTATGCTACATCAAGCTCTTTTTCCATCTTCCTTTCTCACACATGGACTGGGGACTTACTTTCTATTTACTTTGAAGACTGAGAAGCCCTTTAAACCAGGTGTTGGTCTTTGATTTCACTTAGAGATGAGGGAGCCCTTTGTAAACTCATTCTTTGAAGGAAAAAAAAAACCACAGGCTTTCTGCTCTTAAATATGCAGTGATCTTTTTTATAATCAACTGATTATTTTTTACTAGGCCATTGTGCCTTTCATGTTTGTGTGTATGCACGTTTGTGTGTGCATAAATGTGTGTATCTTGTTTAGTCCTGCCCTGCAAATAACTGTTGCAAAATCTTTGCTCTCCTTTCCCATCTACTTGGAGGAAAAGAGTGAATAAACAATCAGGTACAATCCACTCTCCCCTGGATACTTAAATTTATTAGGATTCTTCTGGGTTTTGTGCCAAAAGAGACTATCAGATTATCCCAAGATATGCAATATGATGAAATGCTAGCCAAATGTGCTAAGCAGTTAAAGCAAATGAATACAGAAAGGACGAGGTACTTGCTAGGCAAGTATTGGATACCCTTGGTCTACCATCCCCCCTCCACAGGAGGAAGAGTCATGCTTTTCTGGAATGAGAGGTTTTTCTCAGGCCTTTGGTCTTCAGGCCTGGACTTCCGCTATGATCGCTCCTCAGCCTTTGAGCCCCGGTCATCTTGCCTGTGTCTTCCCTGCCTTCTGGTTTCCTGTCTGACTATTCACAGGGTGAAATGGGTATTTATCTATCCCTCCAAAATGCTGTGTTAGTGTGGGAAAGGACTCGCTCCTGGGCCGTGTCCCAGATGAGACAATTATCCTCAGAGGCTAAGTAAGCGATGGGCCCAAAGATGCTTCCGGTTCCTTGAACTAAGGCAGCTTCCTAGTTATAGGAGACATTGTTGGTCTCTCTGTACCCTTCTCTCCCCTCAGAATTTTAACTTTTCACTTGCTACTGCCCACTGTGGGGAGCATCCCCAAGTATTTGACACCACTACATGGAACTTCCATAGAAGCTGGTGTCCTTTCTTCTCTCTTCTAAATGAACTTGTCTTCTGCTAGGATTCTCAGTTCAGCAGAGCATGAGCACCTTGACCTTTCACAGACATGCTTAACATTCTCTAGAGACAGAGGTTCCCATGAAAGCCAAATGCAAAGCTTATAGGAAGTCTAATTTTGACATGAAGAAACTGCTTTTTAAACTGATTTTAAACTGCTCATCAGATCTTATGAATTCCAATGTTGTTGACCTCCAAGGCCAGAAATAGGTAGTATTAGGCTTATTGTCTTGTTTCCAGCCTGTGGTGTACCCGAGAGGGCTCAAAGCCCTAAAGAAAGAAGCAGATACCTATTTTGGTCTGTGGTCCTAGAAGCTGCCCGGGCCATGCATTGACGCAGACAGCAGACGGATCAGAAAACATGTTTAAGGATTAATAGTAGGGAGATAGAGAATGGGGAATGTGGGAGAACAAAGTCAGAGAGACTGGACCATAGCAAGTAGTTGCCAGGGCAACGCAACAGATTCTGTCTGATGGCATCTTTGGGGCTCAGCATGGCTTTTACCAAGCAGCCCTGTGTCCGCTGGGTAGTAACCAGCTGCTTCTGAGAAAACTCTGGGAATTCTTTCTCTATGATCTGAATTCAAATAGGGGTACATTTCTTTGTTTGTATTTAATGATGGTAAACCCACTACCTTTGATGGGGAACAAAATAATGAGGAGTTGAGTCTAGGGAACCAGATGTGACACCGAGAAGGCAGGAGGTCAAGTGAGGTCCCCCTGTGTCAGGCCCACACACAGTGGGATGGTAGAGTTTTACAGACACCCTCCCAGAGAGGAGGATGCTGAATGTTGGGATGTGTGAGTGGTATCAGGAATAGCTTCCCAAAGCTCAGGACCTTTGAGGAAAGCCTCCACTTGGATGTATAAGTTCTGATCATTGTGGGGAACGACACACTCAGTACTTTGAAGTCACATAGAGTGGAAATGGGTGCTTTATGGCGCTGCTTTTCCTTCTTCTGTCCAATTTGGTGTACTGCACTCTCAAAAGACAGGCTGCAGGAAGATGTCAGAAGCAGCCAAAAGGATTGGGACCTACTGCTGACTAAACCTGTGTGGCCTTTCATCTCCCTGCACTATCACGTGGCCGCCTCCACTGAGGGATGTGAACTTTGCTCTGACTTTTTCCTGCAAGGAGCAGAGGGCTTCCTCCAGCGCTCTACACACTTCCTCTTGTAATCTTTTGCTAGTGACAGACACTTCTGAGACAGCTTGCCAGGGTCAGGGGTCTGCTTGTGGAAAAATGCGCCACCTACCCCAGGAGCCTCTGAGCTCCAGGAAGACTGGGAGATTGTTCTCACCAGGGCAAAGAAGCAGAGCTATGCTGGTTTCCATGGCCGCCCGCCCCTTGCTCGCTCATCTGTGTGGTCCGGGAGGGGACATCTCTGGCAGCGGGTTATGTGAGATTTATCTGGAATCAAATCAGTCACATAACTCTTTTGTTATTTTTTTAAACAGTGGCTTGACGATAGTCTCCCTTTACATACTTAGCTTAAAAGATCAAGACCGATGTACCCCAAGTGCTCCTTCCAGGTAAGAGTTCCCATCTTCTTTTCCTTCGGGAAGGACTCTTGAAGGCCTCTTTCGTTAATTATTTTGTTCTCCTCCTCCAGCAACCTCACAAGCTCTCAGGAGCCAGCTCTGCCCTCTACAGCTTCCCCCTCGGGTAAGATCTCCCCATCGGTCACCTTCAAACCCAGCCTGGGTTTCATGTGAATTGTCAACAGAAGAACCAGCCTTTCAGGTTAACCTTATCACTTCCCTCCTCTCTTCCTGATGCCTTGCAGCACCTAATACAACCCTGGCAACCACACCACCCTCCTTCCAAGTACCCGAGATCACGTTCTGTGAGATCCTGCCGTGTCAGCAGACTTATTGCTGCCCCATCTGGGGAACAGGAAGAGGCCTCTCAAGCCCCGTGCAAAGACAGGTGGAGGAGCAGGAGCCGAATCAGGGGCCATGGGGAGGTAAGAACAATCAAAGGGTAACAACTAGTGCTTTGAATCTGAGAGGTTTGCTCCCCTTCCCAATGTTTACGTGGTTAGTCTGTTAATGAGCCTAGACAATGGTTCCACTCCTCTGTTAGGTGTGGCAAGATCTTTAAAAACACAAACACACAAACTTGCAATCATTTCAGTTCAGTTCAGTTCAGTTGCTCAGTCGTGTCCGACTCTTTGCGGCCCCATGAACCGCAGCACGCCAGGCCTCCCTGTCCATCACCAACTCCTGGAGTTTATTCAAACTCATGTCCATTGAGTCAGTGATGCCATCCAACCATCTCATCCTCTGTTGTCCCCTTCTCCTCCTGCCTTTAATCTTTCCCAGCATCAGGGTCTTTTCCAAGGAGTCAGTTCTTTGAATCAAGTGGCCAAAGTATTGGAGTTTCAGCTTTAGCATCAGTCCTTCCAATGAATATTCAGGACTGATCTCCTTTAGGATGGACTGGTTGGATCTCCTTGCAGTCCGAGGGACTCTCAAGAGTCTTCTCCAACACCACAGTTCAGAAGCATCAATTCTTCAGCACTCAGCTTTCTTTCACATCAAATGATTGCATTTACAATATTGAATTCCCAAAATATTGAAGTGTTGATGGATTCATGTGAAAGGGTCTCATTTGTCCTTTGCCAACCAAAATAGTAATAGTAGCACAAGTGAAGTCATCATGTGCAGATGGGTAGACTTTTTGACTCACTTAGAACTTAAAAAGTGATGTAGCATCTGGGCTCTCTACCCAAACCAAGTGTGACAAGATGTAAATGGCTTTGAAGATTCTGAGAGTTCACGGTAGGCTTTAAGTCCATGAAAAAAAGCCCACTTTCAAATTATCTTCTTGGGTCATAGACAAACATACACACATATACACGTATGCATGCATGTGCACACACATGCGCACATACTGGTGCTCTTTTAGTATCAGAATGTTCATGCTAAAAAAGCTGAGAATTCCCTGGTGGTCCAGTAGTTAGGACTCCATGCTTCCACTGCAGGGGGCACAGGTTCAGATCTGGGAACTGAGATTTCACATGCCCCAAGGCCAAAAAAAATATGGAAACTTGATTAAGGACAAAATTATTGCTGAAAGATCAAATACTGCACATCTAAATGTATACTAAGTTTTTTTTTTTTTTTTCAGAAATTTCCTTCTGTATACACACGTATTAGCAAGTGTCTAAAATAATAATGTGTGCACCGCTCAGTCATGTCTGACCCTTTGCAACCTTATGGACTATAGCCCACCAGACTCCTCTGTCCATGGGATTCTCTAGGCTAGAATACCAGAGTGGGTTGCCATTTCCTTCTGCAGGGGATCTTCCTGACCCAGGGATTGACCCAAGTCTCCTGCATTGTAGGTGGATTCTTTACTGACTGGACCACCAGGGAAGCCCAAAATAATAATGATGATTATGCTAATAATAACAATACATACATATCAGTGTGACTTATCAATTAGAACGCTATGGTAACAACAACTCCCAAATCACAGTGCTTAATGTGACAAAAATTTATTTCACTCTATACATCAAATGTGCATCAAAAGACAGATCTTGTACATCATGCCATTCAGGACTCAGCTGATGAAGCTCCTTCTCAGTACATATTTCCACAATCTCTACAGAAGTGGTAAAAGAACAGGGCAAATTGTGCATCGGCTGTTAGGGCTTGCACTAAGTCACTTCTGCTTACATGTTATTCACCAAAGCAAGTGACATTGGTTATGTCTAATTTAAAAACAGTTGGTGAAGTGCAGACCTACACATGCCTGGAAGAAGAGGAACCAGAATATTTTTGAATAGCCCAAATTATGAATGACATCATTATCATCAACGGTTGAAGTTTGGGGGCAGCAATGTAAGCTTCTCTATTATTTTATATTTGAAGCTTGAATAAATAGCTTCTACAAACCATTGTTATCACCATCATCAGTAATACTACGTTATGAGGTATTACTACTGTAGACAAAGTACCATCATAAGTAGTCTACATGACTAAGTTGTTTAGTTCTCGAAAGCTTGAAAGATAGGCAGCTTTATGACCTTTTTTTTTTTTCCCAGTGAGGAAGCTAAGGCACAGAGAGTTTTCCCCACAGCTACAGGAAGCAATGTTTATACTGTTTCTCTCTTGAAAGCAATTTTTGTTTGAACTTGGAAACAGATGCATCACTATAGAATGAAGATAAAAGTTCATTTTAAAGAAAAAAATTAATTTCAGTCATCACATCCTCAATGGTTTTAAATATGGAAAAATCCCTTACTGTCACAAAAATCCCCCAGAACCTTCATCTCTTGCTTAGAGCACATGGAACCTTATGACTGGTCAATCTTTCCCTTACCATGGGAGTCCACCTTGGGGACACTTGGTGTCCTTTTCTGAGAGCAGTGCTCAGATGAGACCATCTCACTCATGTGAGGTGGATAATCATGGATCCTGAACAGGAAGAGGTTGGACACTGGCCCGATCTTCACTTCCAAAAAGTTTTTTGACTTTTGTGCAAATTCACACCTATAGCCACCATCTCTTCCCATCAAGGGGAGATTGGGAAGAGCAGACCATATCAAACCAGATGAAGGTTTGCTGCTCTCTGCTCTGGGACAATGAATGTCTGCTCACCTTACGTTTCCATAGTGACGAGAGACACTGGAGAGACTCCTGGAGAGAGGAGATCTGCCCCAAGCATCTGGCTGTGTCCTCCTAGATGCAGCAGTCAACTTCTCTGGCTAAGAATGGAGTTGAAGTTCTGCTTTATCAGGCTCTCTTACACACTGGGCAATTGTTTCCTCTTCTCTCTTTCCACTTGAGAAAAAAAATGGAAAGGATTGAAATGTTCTGTTTACTATCACCTTTAGGAAACTTGAAAACTCTGGGGGATTTAGGGTTATAGAGGGTCACAGAGCAGCTACTCGAGTGGTGCCCTGATTTTTTGACCCTGAGATTATGAATCCATTATGCTTTTGAAATTATTTGACCAAAAAAGTATCAATATATAGAGGGAGAATGTAACTATAAGTTCAGTTAAGCTTTTAAATGAATTGTTTTTGTTAATCTAACAGCAACATTTGAAAAATTGTATGTATCTATGGGAGAGATGTTACTTTTTAGGTTCACAACCAACACCACAAACCCCTTTATGCAGTCATCTGGGGTTCCAAAGTCCCCAGGTCAAGAGGATCTTGGATTTGTACCAGCTTATCCATTTTACTGTTGATGGAACAGAAGCTTGGCACTTTGCTTAAGATTCTGCAGTGAATTATGAGTAAAGTCGAAATCGAAATCTAGGTGCCCATCCCCACCATTCAACCTTCATTTATTTGGGCTTGTGTGTGCATCTTCCTGAGATCAACTCCAGAAGATGCAGAAAGTGTCTATTCTGTTGTTCTAGAAAGCAATTTCAGCGCCCTATGCCTCCTCCCCTTTGCCTATAGCCATTAAAAATTCAAATTAAAAAAAGAATACATTTTTTTAAAAATTAGGGAAATACAGCTAATTAGGGCTTCCCTAGTGGCTCAGATGGTAAAGAATCTACCTGCAATGCCAGAGACAAAAGAGACATGGGTTCGATTCCTGAGTCGGGAATACCCCCGGAGAAGGGATGGCAACCCACTCCAGTATTCTTGCCTGGAGAATCCCCTGGACAGAGAAATCTGGCGGGCTACAGTCCATGGGGTCACAAGGAGTTGGACACGACTGAGCGACTAACACTACTACTACTGCAGTTGATTTACAAGATTGTGTTAGTTTCAGGTTACAGCAAAATGATTTAGTTACATATGTATATATACATATAATATATGTATATATGTATACATAATTTCCAGATTCTTTTCCATTATATGTTGCTATAAGATATTGAGTATAGCTTTCTGTGCTGTATAGTAGGTCCTTGTTGGTTATCTGTTTTATATACAGTAATGTGTGTGTTTTAATCCCAATCTCCTGATTTATCTCTTCTCCCGTTTCCACCCTTGTCCGCTTTGGTAACTATAAGTTTGTTTTCCATGTCTGTGAGTCTCTTTCATAAGTAAGTTCATTTGAGTCATCTTTTTAGATTCCACAGGTAAGTGGCATCATAGGGTATTTGTCTTTCTCTTTCTGGCTTACTTCACTTAGTATGATCCTCTCTAGGTCCATCGATGTTGCTGCAAATGTCATTATTTTATTCTTCTTATGGCTGAGTAGTGTTCCATTGTGTGCCCATAGCCACTGAGATGGCGTTCCCACTTCAGGATATTTCTGGGGGTCTGAAGAAAGGCATTTTCCCCCGCTGATGTTCCTTCTCCCCACTCTGTCCAGGGCACCATGTAACACCAGAATTCTAAATCCAACAGAGGAGAACGTCAGGCAAATATTCGTTTCAACCAGGTGTTTCTAGGGCATTTAAGACCAACTACAAATTGACAAATACATTTTTCAATTAAAAAATGTAGCCCCGCCTCTGCGCCCCGCCTCAGGAGTAGAATAGGCTGCGTTCCTCTTGGAACCAGAGTCCTGGTGACGAGTGCCGCGTTCGCTCCCTCAGTCCACTCCGCCAGCCCTCCACCGCGGCGCCCCGCCAGCCCGCCCCTCTCCTGTGCCAGGAACTGACAGGCACCATGCCCCACCAATACCCAGCACTCACCCCGGAGCAGAAGAAGCGCTCACCGGATTGTGGCTCCGGGCAAGGGCATCCTGGCTGCAGATGAGTCCACCGGGAGCATCGCCAAGCGACTGCAGTCCATTGGTACCGAGAACACGGACGAGAACCGGCGCTTTTACCGCCAACTGCTGCTGACCGCCGACGACTGCGTGAATCCCTGCATCGGGGGCGTCATCCTCTTCCACGAGACGCTCTACCAGAAGGCCGATGATGGGCGTCCCTTCCCCCAAGTTATCAAAGCCAAGGGCGGCGTCGTGGGCATCAAGGTAGACAAAGGTGTGGTACCCCTGGCAGGAACAAATGGCGAGACAACCACCCAAGGGCTGGATGGGCTGTCGGAACGCTGTGCCCAGTATAAGAAGGACGGAGCTGACTTTGCCAAGTGGCGTTGTGTGCTGAAGATTGGGGAACACACCCCTTCTTCCCTCGCCATCATGGAAAACGCCAACGTCCTGGCCCGTTATGCCAGCATCTGCCAGCAGAATGGCATTGTGCCCATCGTGGAGCCGGAGATCCTTCCTGATGGCGACCATGACTTGAAACGCTGTCAGTATGTAACCGAGAAGGTGCTGGCTGCTGTCTACAAGGCTCTGAGTGACCATCACATCTACCTGGAAGGCACCTTGCTGAAGCCCAATATGGTAACCCCAGGCCACGCCTGCACCCAGAAATATTCTCACGAGGAGATTGCCATGGCAACTGTCACGGCGCTGCGCCGCACAGTGCCCCCTGCTGTCCCTGGGCTCACCTTCCTATCCGGAGGCGTCCATCAACCTCAATGCCATCAACAAGTGCCCCCTGCTGAAGCCGTGGGCCCTGACCTTCTCTTATGGCCGAGCCCTGCAGGCCTCTGCCCTGAAGGCCTGGGGTGGAAAGAAGGAGAACCTGAAGGCTGCCCAGGAAGAATATGTCAAGCGAGCCCTGGCCAACAGCCTTGCCTGCCAAGGAAAGTACACCCCAAGTGGTAAGGCAGGGGCTGCAGCCCCCGAGTCCCTCTTCATCTCTAACCACGCCTACTAAGCCGATGTGTTCTAAGGCTGCCCCCTCAACACTCCAGGCCCCGTCCCCTCCCACGCTCACTCTTGAAGAGAGGGGGCTTCATCTGGGGCTCCAGGCTGCTCTTTCCCGTCACTCTTGCCTCCTTGTGACATTGGTGCCTGGTGTTGTCTCTGTACGCTAACTCCACCGTTTCCAGCCTACTGCCAATAAACAGCTATTTAAGGGGGCGGGGGAAGGAATTTTTCAAATCTATGAAATATAATGGAGAATGAGTCTTAGTTGAAGTTTGTGGTTCATGAAAGATGAATGAAGAAAGAAATTCTGTGAAAAAGGTTTATCTAATCTATGACTTAAGAATTTCTTCTTATGAAAATCTCTGTACTCACCTCAACCCTTCCTTTTCTCACTATTGTAATAATGGAAATAAAACAAAATACATATTTGGACATTTGGGAATATACTAAAAGATTTTTATCTATTTGATGCAAAACCAACCACTTCAAAATTATATGACTTCACTATATTAACTACTGTGTTCATTCATGATTTTGCAGTTTGGGATTCCTTGGTGGATCAGACATTACAGAGTCTACCTGCAATGCAGGAGACCCAGGTTCAATCCCTGGGTCGGGAAGATCCCCTGGAGAAGGAAATGGCAACCAACTCTAGTATTCTTACCTGGAGAATTCTATGGACAGAGGAGCCTGGCAGGCAGCAGTCCATGGGGTTGCAGAGAGTCAGACATGACTGAACGACTTCACTTTCACTTGCAACCTGGGCAGGTCTAAGCTGGCTGTTTCTTCTGCCAGTGGTCTTTCATGTGACTGAAGTAAGTTAGTGTTAGGGAAATTAAATAGAAGTAGTCTTGTTCAGGCTTCAGAGATGAGAAAGCAGAACAGACCTCTGACTTTGCTTCTGACTTGCCTGGACAAGACCCTGACTATGTACCTGCTGTGAATGCAAGGCATGTGACACCACAGATAAGATAGGGGATGGATCATAGACTTGTTGAGCCCCTAGAAGGGGTCTGGCCCACCACATTCAGGACTTAACAACATTTCAAATTACATTTCAAGATTTATAAGACAAAACAAATGGCATTACTAAAATAAATAAATAAATAAAAGTTAGCTTAAAACCAGAGCTGCAATTTGCTCTCAAACTGATGATGATATTAGTTTGTGGCTTGGAATTATAAGCAGGAACCCCCATACTGGAGTCTGAGGTCCCACCCATTGAGCAGACATACTGCCCAGGACCTTTTCCCAGACTGCTGTCTCATGGGACTTCCCAGCACTGTTTGAGTCAGGATGTTGGTCAAAACCCAATTTGGTGATGTATATACTGTTATTCTCCTTTATCATTTCACTTTTCTTCTCTTTCAATGATTGCTTATTGAAAACAAGATAGATAATCCTCTATTAATTAATTAATTAATCCCCTTTCTTTTAATGACTGTATAGTAAAAATATGGTAGGTATTCTTTATTAAATATTGGATTTATTTATGTAAATTGAGTTGAGCCTGAAACAACAATTAAAGCTTTCAACAAACCAGTTATGTTAGTTAAGGCTTGGGATCAGCTCTAATGTCAGAAAGCCCAAGAATCTGTCTTATTCCTTGTAGTCACATGAAAATAGTTTCTTCAGACAGAGAGCTAAAGTACTTGCCTAGTGTTGCAGGGCTCTCCAAACCACAAAAGCAGACCTGTTCAGGATGCCTAAAGACTTAGGTTGAGAAATTGAAAAATTATGACTTCTGAAAATATAATGCTGATGAAGGTGAATTTGCCATGAAAAGAACTTCCATGACAGGGGCCCTAACTTGCCAGCACCCTTCCCAGCTCTGAGATTAGTTCTGTATGTGTAAAATGACTTGTTGTGAGATACCAATATAACATACTATAACACTGATATTAATATATTGTGTATGACATTATTAATGCTTTCCATAATATATATGTGATATTAATATTACGGGAAAATGTGTAACTTAAAGTATAAGCAAATACTTCTTTTATAAGATGTGTGCTGTAAAATTATCTTTTGGTAATGGTCAAATCACAACTACTGAAAAGCAGATAAATAAACAGAGAAAAGTAGATTTGTTGTTGTTGTCATTCAGTTGCTAAGTCATTTCTGACTCTTTGCAACCCTGTGGACTGTAGCCTCCTCTGTCCATGGGGTTTCCCAAGCAAATATACTTGGGTGGATTGCCATTTCCTTCTCCACAGGTCTCTCTGATCCAGGGGTTGAAATATTGTCTCCTGCATTGGCAGGCACATCCTTTACCACTGAGCCAACAGGAAAGCCCAGAAAAGTAGTTAAAATTGACCTAAAAGAAAAGACACAGTAATCCTTTTATAAATGAGTGTAAATAATTAGGTGAGCTTCTAAACTAGTGTTCTATTATGGGTTTCTCACAGCAAGAATACTGGGGTTTGCCATTTCCTCCTCTGGTAGACCACATTTTGTCAGAACTCCCCACTATGACCCATCCATCTCGGGTCACTCTACACAGCATGGCTCATAGCTCCATTGAGCTATGGCAAGCCCCTTCACACAAGGCAGTGATCCATGAAGGGGATGAGTTAAGCTTTTGAATTCTGGTGCTGGAGAAGACTTGAGAGTCCCTTGGACAGCAAGGAGATTAAACCAGTAATGCTAAGGGAAATCAACCCTGAATACTCATTGAAAGGACTGATGCTGAAGATGAAGCTCCAATACTTTGGCCACCTGATCCAAAGATCTGATTCATTGGAAAAGACTCTGATCCAGGGGTTGAAATATTGTCTCCTGCATTGGCAGGCACATCCTTTACCACTGAGCCAACAGGAAAGCCCAGAAAAGTAGTTAAAATTGACCAAAAAGAAAAGACACAGTAATCCCTTTATAAATGAGTGTAAATAATTAGGTGAGCTTCTAAACTAGTGTTCTATTATGGGTTTCTCACAGCAAGAATACTGGGGTTTGCCATTTTCTCCTCTGGTGGACCACATTTTGTCAGAACTCCCCACTATGACCCATCCATCTCGGGTCACTCTACACAGCATGGCTCATAGCTCCATTGAGCTATGCAAGCCCCTTCACACAAGGCAGTGATCCATGAAGGGGATGGGTTAAGCTTTTGAATTCTGGTGCTGGAGAAGACTTGAGAGTCCCTTGGACAGCAAGGAGATCAAACCAGTAATGCTAAGGGAAATCAACCCTGAATACTCATTGAAAGGACTGATGCTGAAGATGAAGCTCCAATACTTTGGCCACCTGATCCAAAGATCTGATTCATTGGAAAAGACCCTGAAACAAATGAGAGAGATTGAAAGCAAAAGGAGAAGACTGTGGCATAGGATAAGATTGTTGAATGGCATCACTAATTCAATGGACATGAACTTGGGAAAATTCTGGGAGATGGTGAGGGACAGGGAAGCCTGACATGCCGCAGTCCATGGGGTCACAAAGAGTCAGACACAACTTAGAGACTGAACAACAAAAACAAAACTAGAAGATTCATTGAACTGTTTTGCTGGAGAGAAAAGTGAAGTTGCTCAGTCATGTCAGACTGGTTGTAACCCCGTGGATTGTAGCCTACCAGACTTCTCCACCCATGGGATTCTCCAGGCAAGAATACTGGAGTGGGTTGCCATGTCCTTCTCTGGGGGATCTTCCTGAACCAGGGATTGAACCCAGGTCTCCTACAGATGCTTTACCCTCTGAGCCACCAGGGAAGCTTTGCTGGAAATCCTTAGTATTTTATTAAATCAGAAGTTAAATGAGACCACAAGCTTATTCTCTTTTCTGGTAATATTTTTTAGGTATCCATTTCATAATGAATTCTATTAAAACTAAGAAGACCTATTGTCTATACAAATGCATTATAACAAAAATTAAGCATATTTATTAACATTGTCAATCCTAAAGGAAATAAACCTTGAATATTCATTGGAAGGACTGATGCTGAAATTGAAACTCCAATACTTTGGCCACCTGATGTGAAGAGCCAACTCACTGGAAAAGACCCTGATGCTGGGAAAGACTGAAGGCAAGAGGAGAAGGGGATGAAAGAGGATGAGATGGTTGATGGCATCACCAACTCAATGGACATGAATTTGGACAAACTCTGGGAGATGGTGAAGGACAGGGAAGCCTGGCATGTTGCAGTCCATGGAGTCGCAAAAAGTTGGACATGACTGAGCGACTGAACAACAACAAGAACATTAATATTGTAAAGAATATAATTTCTACAAAAGCACTAGCTTTATAACTACAGTTGCTGATGGCCTTTATGGTAAACAATTATTATTGGGATCATAAATGACTTCCCTTTTCAATTTTCAGTTTGGCTGACAATAGCAACTTCCCCTTTGTTCAGTGACTTTTCCTTGTGTTTATTAAAATAGAGATCTTCCTGAAATAGTAGAATCATTTTTTGAAAAAGAATAAACAAGAAGAAAATATTTGCCATATGTAACAGAGAATTAATTGTGTTAATATCATAATATGAAATATTTTAGGTATTTTATTTAACAATGAAATAAGAAGCAAATACATAATTCAGTAGAATCAGAAAGTAAAGTGTCAACAAGAACCTTACAGAGGATGAATGAAAAAGCTGTAATGAATAGAAAAAAAAATATTCGACCTCCTTAAAAATAAAAAAAAAATGCAAATTAAAATATTGCAGTAATGAAATACAATTTCCAATCTATCAATTTGACACTATTTTGATAAAACAGACTGATTTATTAATGGTAGGATTGTAAATGTGATATCTGAAAATAAACACAGAATTTAGACACAGAAATATACCAAAAACACCTCTTAACAAAGAAGATAAAGTAGTCATTCTAATGCTAGTCCTTGAATTTTTAACCTCAGCTAAAGTATTTATTTTTAAAACTCCTATTTTTAAAACTTTCTCAAAAATTCTAGGCTATAACTTACAGTGTCCTATTAATTGGTATTTTAATTAATTTTTTTTTATTATTTTGACCACAGTAAGCATAGGTTTTTTAAAAAAAATATTTCTTTGAATTCTAATATCTAATGTATTTCCAAGTCCTTTTCTGCTTTTTGTCTCTTCTATTTTTTGTTCATGCTATTTCATTTTCTATTGCACTTAATTTTTTTTTTAATAAGATGCTTATCATTACTGGTATTATTACTATTATTTTAGAAAATTATTTGTTGGAATTCTTTGAGCCCTAAGATGAAGGCTTTCTTCAAAGAGA